TGTGCCCTCAGTTCTGGGAGCGAGGCTGGAGCCCAAGATCCGCCCTCACCCTGTCCTGGGTGACGTCACTCGCCCGTGGCTGCAGCTTGCTGACATCACGCCCTTGTGTGACCACAGAGAAGGACCCATGGTGGGGCAGAAAATCGGGGTCTGAGGCCATGATGCCAAGTCTGGTGCCAGCACCGAATGCCATAGCTTCCACTGGTGGGTAGTCCTCTCAACTTTGCCTGAGTCTGTTGAATCCCTTTGAAAATATTGAAGACAATTTGTAAAATGTTTTTACAAATGGTACTGCGATGCTATAAAATCAAGACATCAATGTACAGTATTTGCTCAGGGCAGGTTTTCTCATGTTTAATACTTCCTCTCTATCCTTTTCCTTTCATGGTTCCTTTGCATGTAACCTTTAGTGCTGCAATTTTCTCTTTGCAGAAGTTTTTTTTTGCCTTCACTAAGCCATGCTTTAGAAAAAATAGAATTCAATTTATTTTACTCTGATGTTATCTTACATTAGAAATTTTCTGTAACAAATGAGTAAAAATCAGCATTTTATTCTGAATAAAAATTATAAACAGTTGTGAACAAAATAATTTACTAAGAAAAAAAAAAGTAAAGACAAAAAAAAACATAACCAGTATTGGGAATGCTGTGCCCTGATCTGGAAATGAGGAGCATGCAAAGTGCTTTCCCCTTTGTGGTGTTGGCTGCAAAAAATAATTTGACTAAACTAAAATTGCATGGGGTTTTAAGTTTCTTGTTGGTGGTCATATTTCTCTGTATTCTCAGGAAAGTCAAAGCCTTCCTTTGCAGGGGTGTTGAGTGTTCCCTCATTCTTTACTCATTGATTTGGAACGAAGATTTCTGAGGCATCAGGGCTTAGCTTCAAGCCCTGATAGTGAGCCATCCATCTTGTGTGGGATCAGATCAGAATATGTTTCTTAGAAATCAACCTGGTTTGTAGGAATGATCCATAGGGCATGATAAATATTTGATTTCAGCCAACTATGAAAGCAAATGGTTTGTGCATTTAAAAAATAAAGTGGTTCACTATAAAGATAAATAAAATGTAGACTATAATCATTTTAGTTTTCCCCTATTGACTTAAAATGGAGGTGGTGTCTGGGGGTGAGAGGCAAGGCATTCATTTTTTAAAAGCCCTAATATAGTCCATTATATTATAGAAAAAGATGCGTAGGAAGAAACAGCCTGATCTCTTCACACATATTAAGCAGTGACATTTTTTCCAATAAAATTGCCAGTAAAATATCTTACATTTTACCTAGTGACATAGATAATACACACTTATTGTACATACATAAATCTCAGAAATCAGAACAACGAAGAAGAAAAAAACAAATCACTGGAAATTTCAGTGTTCAGTACACAGGCAAGTTTAGTGACTGTTCTTTTAGACATTTACACATATGCACCCATACACTGCATGTATATGTACAATCTATAAATACATATCAAGTGTTCATTTAATATTGTATATAAATAAAAAAATTAAAAAAATATTCTATATAAATATGCATATATGAAAATATGCAAAGGCATGGGTTGAGATACAGAGGGAATCTAAGTAAATGGACTCAAAATGGGACCTGTAGCCTCCCCAATATATGTATGTATGTATTTATTTATTTTTAAAGATTCTTATTTATTCACTAGAGAGAGAGAGTATGTGTGCACCAGTGGGGGGAGGGAGAAGCAGACTGCCCGCTGAGCAGGGATCCTGATGCAGGGTTCAATCCTAGGACCCCTTGATCATGGCCTGAGCTGAAGGCAGATGCTTACATGACAGAGTCACCCAGGCACCCTTACCTTCCTGATGTATTTAAAAAGTAATCCAGTATTACCTAACTCCCATCAATCTAAACACAAATTCTATTTTTTTCCAAATGAAGACACTTTTAATGAAAAAAAAAAAGGTTAAATCTTTTGTATTATTTGAAATTACCACATAAAATATATATTTTTTCAAATTTTTTATTCTTGTATCTCTTCTAGAGCTCTTGGAAGATCTGTCATGTGGTCCAGTTCACCTTCCACAAACCAATCTTAAGTTCTTAGCTAAAACCTGCAGTAGGAAGAAGGCATGTTTTAGGAGTAGCACATTCTCCTCAGGGTCAATGGTTTTTCTCAGTGTAGGCAAGGATGCAAGATCCTTCCACAAGCTTCAAATGTAGCTGCTTATTTCAGAATATACAGAGCCAATATCAGCTTGCCCAAAATAATATGGAGCCAGTGGCTATGAATAGAAACTTAGATGATTGTAATACATTTAGGACAATATAAGAAAAATTTTATTTTAATTTCTAATTATGTAGATGTGTCTGTTTTTAATGGAAATTTAATTTATTATTCATTAACGGGTAATTAAGCTGCTTGATTTCCATCTTTATGTCACCTTACTTAATGTTAAAGCTGATGTATCTGAATTTGATTCTTCTTTCTTTTCTAGCCTATGTGCTAAAAATCTCCATACATTCGAGAAACAACATCTCTGTGACCTTGTCAAGTGTTTCACCAAGAGCACATCATTTATATTTTACGAGTCCAGAATTTTGGAAGACTCATTTGTTTTTTTCTCTACATATAGCATGTATTGATTTATTAACATTTATGAAGGACCAACAACCTAATTTCTTTTCAAATATTTGTAGTTTTTTTTTTAATAATTTGTACACCCAGCATGGGGCTCAAACTCCCAACCCTGAGATCAAGAGTCACACTCTCTACTGAGCCAGCCAGGTGCCCCAACCTAATTTCTTTTCAATGAATAATGAATCAAAAACAGCTTAAGCAGAGACACTTAACTCTTAGATTCTATGGAAGGAGATGCATTTCTCATTGGGCACAAGGCCTGGTCATTATAAAGCAATGCAGGAATTTTCATCATCTGACTCTATGGACTAATAATTAAAAATGCTCTAATGCTCCCTGTGGAATCCTGCTTTTGTCTTCCCTCTTTCCTTCTCAATTCTTTGTAGCACACGCCAAACAGATGAGAATGTTGGGTTGCTTCTCTGAGCTGGAGGAAAACCAGGGCCTGTCCATCGGTGTTGCTGTAGAAAGATTAAGACGGGCCCTCCACGGTGACCCAGATAATTTTCCAGAGGTGTCATTAATATGTAGAACTGCACTCTCCCTCACCTGCTTCAATCAAGAGGTTGTAAAATCCTGCCAGGTCTCTATTTTAAGTCAGTAGGAAAAGCTCACAGGCAAGAGTCCCTGCCGCAGGTGCTGTTCTCGGAAATGAAAGTCTCTCGACTTTCTAAAATGTTAGAAATGACAGTAAAGTGTCTTTTGCAGTATTACCAGGCATTTTCCCTTTGGCTCTGGGTTTACTCTTAAAATTGGAAGATCACAAAAAAAAAAGAAAATCCACAAAGGAATATATCATAGGTGATTTTCTTCCAATTTGCTCCATCATTTTGATATCTTATTACATATATATTGGTATTACTAAGTGAAGGACAGGTATTATTTACATTTTTCAGAAGAGAAAAATGAGTTATTACCATGTAATATCAGAGTGAGGGCACAGTTTAGGAGAGACAAGACCCCCTGACTTTGCTCTGATTGTCCTTTCCCCATGAAGGTCATCCCCGACAGAACAGCAGCAGTGATCACTATACAGGTGGCAGAATGGACCAGAGACAAGGTCTCCATCCCTATTTGCTCGGGGCCGTAGCTCAGGCACGTTGAGGTGCTACAATGGACAGCTCTTAGTTAGGGTCTCAAGTCAGTAGGAAACAGGCTTCCTAATGTGATCACTGGTGCTCACAGAATAAGACAAGTTTTCTCAGATTAATCATTGACTGTATCTATATGGGATGTCAAGATTTTTTAACTCGAACATTTGGAGATGAAAGACTGAAGATGAAGACTTGGGTCTTGACTCCCTGCCCCACGTTCTCATCCATGGAATGTTCCAACCGTCTGTCCTCTTTCTTGTTAGGGCATCTTTGGCTTCTTTCTAAGTGAGTGTTTCCTTCTGGACTGAAAAAAGCTGATCTGGGACATGTGAGTGGACACCACTCATTTTCTCAGAGAGATTTGGCAGAATAGGGCTATGAGCTATACCCCTCACCCCACCTCAGCTCCACGGCAGCCCTTCCAAGCCTCCTGTGCAAGGCAGACCTTCCCCTGTGGAGGAGGAATGTTCTTCCTGGGAGGGAAGATGGTGCAGCCACGCTGCTTGGTTAGGACTTTCAAACAAGCTCTCGGTGCCCAATTACGGGGATTTCTTCAGGGCAAAACAGAAACAGCAAATTCAGAAATCCTTCTGTGCTCTTCTGCTGATTTTGTTAAGTTGCTTTACCAGGTGTATGGAAGCAGATCTTAAATTAGCAAGCAGACTTTTTCCAAATCATTTCTCTTGGAAAGTTATTGACCTGATGTGATCAGCCTCCTATGTTCAAAAAGTCTGAGGGAACTAAAGGACAGGCTGAGAAAAGAAGTAACAGGGAGAGGAGATCTATCTGCACAGGGGTTTCTGGCCAATTCTCTCTTCTCTGATCCGGCAAACCCACACGAGAAAGCAGAGGAGCCACCAGGAGGAAGGCACTGAAGGGCAAGGGTAAGAGAACAGTGAGAACGTTGCATTTACAGGGGATCTTATTTTCGTTTCGAAGGGCTGCCATGTCATTGTTCCAGCTCCTGGGGCGCTGTGATGCGTCAGCAAGACACGCGTGTGCAGGGGAGGGCAAGTGCCAGCGTCCCTGTTTTCCCTGGAAAGTGCTTCAGACTCTCCACATCCCTCTTTGAGCCAATCCCCAATCTCCCTACACAGGGACACAACCATCCGTCCTCACGTGAGCTCTCACCTGACACTCCCACTCCTACACACTCACATAGCACACACATGTGTGCTCACACGCACGCACTCACAACACACCCACAGACGTGTGTTTACAGTCACACACCACACCCACAAATGGACGTTTACACCCACACACTCTCCCACACATTCACAAGCTCTCTCCTCTCACACTTGCACACACATACACGCACACTCACACTTGCCCTGCTCCGCTGACTCACCGGCCTCGGGGCCCAGCACAGCCTGCAGACTGGCCGTGTCACCCCCACAGCACCGAGGGCCGCTGAGACCCTGCGCCGCCGAGCATCCTCCCAGGAGGGTGGGAGAGAATGTATGTCAGCTGCCTCTGCTGGGCTCTCCTGTCAGGCACCCGAGACGCGCATTTGCTGACGCACCCGAGCAGTAAGTGGCCTCTGCAGTTTTGTCTCAGGTCAGTGTTTGGCTTTCAGTTTCAAGTGGTCCTGCCCTTGCAGGAAATCCGTGGTCCGAGGTGGTGAAGGGCTTTTCCTCAAGGACCTCTGAGAAGCTCAAGGGCACATTCATGGATAAATGTTGTCATTCCAACCACGGTGGGGTATGTGGAAGAGCAGGCACAGGGTCCCCGGGAGGTCAAGAGGAGCCATGCATCAGGGTCCAGCTGCCCCCACCAGCGGGGTGGTCACCAGCACGTCCCCAGCCCTTTTCCTCCCTTGTCTTTCCCTTTGTGTGTTAAAAAGGGGGGGTGGGCATTGAGAGCCGAGCAGAGAAAACCCTGAGCGCCTTCCTCCCTGTTTACTGCAAGTCTGCAGTTCTCAGATCTCTCCCTGGTGGTCTGACAAGCTGAGAGTGTTGGTCTCTGTGAAGTGGGGTCTCTCTCTAGACCTCTGTCCGTGGGATTGAATGACAGTCACCGGAGCTCACTCTGTGCAGAGAGCTGGGACGTCACAGAGCAGAACAAGTGACAAACACGCCCAGCATCGAGCAGCTTACAATCTGCAAGTGAAGCGAAGGCAACGCGAGGCGGAAGCCCTGAGGATTGGGAAGTCGTGAATCATACCCACCAAGGGGGCTGCCTTGAGGGACTCGGCTAAGCTTTGTCACAAGAAGCCGCTCTGCTGTGACTCACGATCAGTGGGACCGATGGCACCAGCCCGACATGGTGCGCCCCTGTGTAATGTCCTTCACTGAGTAAAGCCCACGGAGCGGTTGATGTCCTTCCTTTCAACAAACAGGACAACATTTCCACTGCAAGAAATTCATGGACACCATTTACCAGTGGAGAAAATTTGAGAAGATTAGCTAAACTCCCAGCACCTCAATCGTCCTCATTTGTGCGCCTCACGCATTTCTGCGGCGATGGAAGGCAATGCTGCACGTGGCCGTGGCTGGGACAAGCTGTGTGTCACTTAGGGTGTTTGTCATGCTTTTATTACAGTCTCAGTCTGGGGGGATCGTGGAGACGTCTTGATTTCTGAGCGGGACCCTGGAGCTGTCTCCGGGCTGGAGAGCCCGGCAGAAGTGGGACAGAGAAGGTGGCAGACTGGAATCTGGCCGCTCAGCCGGGGAGCCGCGTGTGTGAGCTCCCAGAGCGGTGTGCAGAAACACCTGCTCGCACTCCGCCCTTGTGACGGTGCTGTGGGTGTGGGGAACCGAATGATGTCCCATTGCGAAGGTCATTCTTTTTTCCAATAAACGTTGGACCTTAACTCCCTTTACTATGTCAACATCATCCAAGGCAGTCGCCTCTGGTTCTTCATGCGGTGGGGGCTGTGTGGGGACCAGGCATTGTTCTGTCGTCCCACTGTCCTGGCACACATCAGGCTTTAAAGACACACGTGGAATAAGCCAGTGATGCATGAATGAAATAGACAATATTCTGCCGATGCTCCGTGATCAATCATGGGCTCATCTACATGCCACTGAAGGTCAGATCTGCTAGTCTGAACCTGGCGCTTGGTGTTGAGGAGGATGAAACCCGAGCAGATGAAGTTAACACCAGGCTGTAAGTCACGGAGTGTCTGAAACCAGGTCGGGAGGCCCCTGGGGCAGTGTGGGGTCTAGCCCACACTGCAGTTCTTCTGGAATCCTGGGAATCCTGGACGCTTAGCTGCAGTGACATCATGGGGAAAGAACCCTGATTCATAACAGCCAGAGGTCGTGGCGCCTGGGTTCCCTGCGGGCCTCCCCGGGGCCGGAACCCCTCCTGGGTTTGCACAGGGAGCTCGGGGCCACCCTCAGTTTGTGTCCTGGGCCTGTGGTGTCCCCAGAGGTCCAGTTGTGCCCAGATGTGCCATTTCCCTTCCAGGCTCCGGGCGCCTGGTTGAGGAAGGAAGGTGATGTCCCTGAAGGTGTGTAGAGACCTGGCACATCCTCCCTGGGAGGTGACACAGTGTCCCTTCATCCACACAAAGAGGACTTTGGGGAAAAGAACAATGCGCCCCAGGGCCAGCCTCTGGCAGCTCTCCATGAGTGCAGAGGTGAGGACCTGCCCTCGTGATTCATTCCTCTTTGTTAAACTCCCCCAAGATGGTGAGAGGCAGTTAGAAATGCCCTGTGAGGACACGACTGTCCTTGCACATCCAGAACCAGTAGAACCACAACCATCTGAAGTGTGTGGACTGTGGGTCTCTCATGATTCCATCTGAAGTGTGTGGACTGTGGGTCTCTCATGATTCCATCTGAAGTGTGTGGACTGTGGGTCTTTCATGATTCCATTTCCTCATTTGTGTTTCCAAATCCACCCTGAGTCCAGTCCCTGAAACCGGGTCATCTGGGAGAACACCTGGTGTGGGTTTACCTCCTGTGAAGGTTCCTAACCCTCCCCTGGTCCTGTGCTTGTCTCGTGTCCCTGGGTCTCAGGGGAGCAGGGTGCACCCACGCCCCCTCCGGACCCAGTGTGGGCGGGGGGGGTCCAGGGCCCACACTGAGCCTCTAACCCTGCTCCTCTGGGGGGCCTCAGGGCTCCTTGGCCCTTCCCCAGAGTTTGACACTGTTCCCACTGCCCACGGAGGTTCTGCTTCCTGTGATTCCTTCTCAAGGAGCGTTTTCCTTCCTGGTTTACTCTCTCGCCTGGGGGTGCTTTGTGCTAGTCAGCGGCTCCCACCTTCCCTGAAAGTGTCGCTTTGGTTCTGCTGGACATGAACTGATTTGTCGGGCAGCCAAGTTAAACAAGGGGGTGCTTTTAGATCGTTTTTGGAATTACTCTTTTTCTCTTGGCATTCAGCCCATAATTGTGAGAATTTAGATATCTGCTGATTTAACAGAAGGCCATGAGGCTTTTGAGGTTTCTGGAGGGATTCCTGAGTCCAATTACTACCAAAGGATGAGGAAAATGGGGAGAAATTGATCTGTTTATTGTGGATAATTTATAGCAGGCAGCATGTTTTACGATATCTCCAGTAGACACCTTACTGGTCTATGATAGAGACAGAATGACAGGTTTCGAAATAAACCAGTCACTGGCTCAAGTGATCACTGGGACCCTTTCTGGATCTCATTAATGTTGGGTACGGGTCTGGCCCCTCACTTTCTGGTGATAGCACAGTTGTCCCTGATATTTCCATCTGGTGTTAACTTTCATCTGTACAGCTGGAGAAATATTTTAGTTATTTAGTCCTTTATTGGGGAGGAGTTTATAATAATAGTTCCTTCTCTAATGCAGTATTAGCAAATTTACAAAAAATAGATGAATTCTCTCTTTAAATTACACTGGCTTCCTCGGGGGAAATCGGAGGGGTAGACGAACCATGAGAGATGATGGACTCTGAAAAACAAACTGAGGGTTCTGGGGGGGAGTGGGGTGGGGGGATGGGTTAGCCTGGCGATGGGTATTAAAGAGTGCACGTTCTGCATGGAGCACTGGGTGTTATGCACAAACAATGAATCATGGAACACTTCATCTAAAACTAATGATGTAATGTATGGGGATTAACATAAGAATAAAAAAAAAAATTACACTGGCTTCCTATGTGGCATTCCCTTGGTGAGGGTTGGTTAGCTTCTCCCGATATCAGTGCTTTGCTGTGCTCTATAACAAACCTCCCTCTTACTCAAAGGAACCAAGACCCCACCCCAAGCCCGTGTCTGTACACCCTTAATTGTGATACTTTTTGTGTGTGTGCGTCCACCACTGCTCAGCAAGTGCCTACTAACTTCCTCCTAGCCACTTTTCCAGATGGCCCCCGTGAACCATGTTGTCTGACAGTCACACTGGGGGTCCCTCCTCCCACACTGAAGGAGGTGCTGGTGTGTGACCACCAGAACACAGTGCAAGTGATGCAAAGTGACTCCGGAGACCCAGGTCCACCCCTTCCCCATGCCTGATTCCTTGAAAGCCCCAGGGTATATGTGCTGCCCTGATGAGAAGGTGAAGGCAGATCCCCAGAGAGGGGATTTTGGAGGAAATGACTTGTTTCATCTGGAGTTACCTGTACTAACTTCTTTGACACATGGAGGGAGCTGGGTTTGAGATAACTTAAGTACAGACACATAATGTTACACTTTTTCTTTTTTTGCATACTTGTGTTTGTGGCCATTACGAATGAATGAATACCAGTTATTTTTAAAAATTTTGGATTTTTCAGCTTAAGTGATTATCTTTGATTCTGCAGCAATCCACTCATCTAGTTAAACCTTAATATCAAGTTTCCTGACTCAAAGTCAAACACATTTTTTTCCTTTGTCAGTTTATAGAAGAAACTCCCAAAAGGTTGTTTTTTTGTGTTCCCAAATCATCTTTATGTGACCTGCCTCCAGAATGCCGAGGAAGGCCTTGACAATTACTTGTTACCTATTACTCCATTGTATGTTCTGGAGACTCATTTATTGGTGATAGTGGAGAAACCAGGGCTGTGGTTTCAGCTGTAAACACTTGGAAGTAGGCATCTTTTTCAAACTTTAAAGAACTAAATATTTGGGCTTTGTCTTACGTGTCACTGACCGTCACTCAGCATAGTCCAAGCAGATGCAGTTCTTTCTGCTCTATGAGCTTCTGCTAGAAAAGACAGCCCTGGACAGAAAGAGGGCGGACAATGGGGAGGGGGCTGGTGCTGGACAGAGTCACAGGATTGTCCCAGTGCAGTGCGTCCCTTCTGGTCTGCATGCAGTCTGAGTCCCCAGCCCCTGCCCGCCATTGAGGGGCTCAGGGACAAACATGGAGCCTGGGCGGAAATTATCCTGAATATTCACATTAAAAAGTGAAAGGGATGAGAAATGCTGAGAACTAAATACCTCAGCCCAGATTATTCTTTTTAAAAATGTACAATTGTAAGCTCAGGTCAAAGAAAAGAAGAAAAATAGGTTTATATTATAACTTTTCTCACTGACATTAAGCAGTCCTTAATATGGGTTAAATTTGTGTTTAAAAATTTCTCTTTAGGGGATGCCTGGGTGACTCAGTTGGTTAAGTGTGGAATTCTTTGGGCTCAGGTCATGATCTCAGAGTTATGAAAT